CCAACCTCTCACTATTTAAAGAAATACTCTACAGATCTGTTTTTCCTCAAGTGAATAACCTCATCTCTTCAGATCATATTCCGTCTGCAACATTCTTGCCCATTCACCATGTGTGTCCAAATACTCCTGAAATAATTGCATGTTCCTCACACAACATATATTCCTGGTTAGCTTGTATCAGCCACAAATTTGGAAGTGCCCACCTCCAAATCACTGTGCTATATTTTAAATAGCTGGGACCCTGAGCAATAATCCTTGTCGTGCTAGACTAGTCTCAGCCTGCCAACGTGACAATGATCCATTCATACCTACTGTATTTTCTATCAGTCAGCAAGTTATTAATCCATGTCAGTGCAGTATCCCCTATGTGCTTTAATGTTTCAAACCTTGCTACCTTAGGCAACATTATCAAAACCTGAAAAATAAGTTCACTGCATCCAGTGGCTCACCTTTGTTAATTTTGTTCGTAATATATCCAAAGAACTCCAAGTTTATCAAACAACTCCCCATTCACAAATCCATGTCGACTACAATCAGATTATCAACCAGGTGTCTATTTATCCCATCCTTTATGATCAATTCTATCATTTCCCTACTACTGATGTAACACTAACATGTCTGTGGTTCACTGTTTTCTCTCTCACTCCATTCTTGAATAGTGGGATGACATTTGCAACTTCCCAACCTGCAGGAACCATTCTAGAATTGAGAACCAATGCATCAATTCTCTCTATTGCCACCTCCTGCAATTTCTGGGATGCACAGTATCAGATCCTAAGAATTTATCAACCTTCAGCCCCAATTCTTTATCTCGGACAACCTTCGTACTGATGCTAATTTCCTTCAATTCCTCATTCTGCCCAGTCTTTTGGATCTCTTGTTCTGGGACATTTCTGGCATCATCCTCAGTAAAAACAGGTAAAAAATAATCATTTAGCTACTCTGTCATTTCCCTATTCACCATGATACTTTCTCCAGATTCTGCCTGTAATGGGCCTATACTTATCCAAACCAAATGTTTCCTTTTTACATACCTATAGAAGCTTTTATAGTCAGTTATAGGTTTTGTTTTGCTAGGCTGCATTCATATTCTATTCTCACTTCCTGGACCTGTTTCTTGGTCCTTTGTTGTATTCTATAAACCTCCCAAACTGCTATTTATGGCAACTTTATAGGCCATTTCTTTTATTCTTATTCAATGCTGAATTTCTTTTGTAAGGTACAATCGACTGACTTTTTGGTACTTTTCATCTTAAAGGAAGGCATGGGAATATATGCAATGTATGGAATGTGTGGTTGTTGTAAATCATGTAACAGTTCTTTAATGTCCATCCATTGCCTATGTACAGTCACACTTCTTAATGTATTTTCCCAATCCACATCAGCCAATCTGTGCCTCATGTGTTTATAATCACCCTTACTCAAATGTAACACTCTTGCATCAGTGAACCATCTCCTTTACAACAATGTAAAAGTGTTATCATATTGTAGTCACTCATCCAAGGTTATTTTACAAAAAAATGGTTAATTAGTCATTTTACATTATATAACAGTAGGTCTTAAATAGCCTGTCCTCTTGTTGGCTCAACATACTGTTCCAAAAAGTAAACCACCCTAACACACTCCAGAAACACAAGCTCCACAGCTTTAGTCCTCAATTAGTTTACCCAATGTACATGCAGATGAAAGACATTCATGACAACTGTGTTAGTCATGCTACATACTTCTCTCATCTCCAGATTAATGCTATGCCCCACCCGACCATAACTATTCGCGGCCTATTACTGATTCCAACCAATATCTACTGTCCCTTGCTGTTTCATAATTCCACCCATTATTCTTCTGATCTGAGATCCTCCCTTACTAATCTACTGAGGCCAACCCTTATTATCAGACAACTTTGCCTCCATTTTATCTGTCTGCTCCAAATGTTGACCATCCTTGAATATTCAGTTCCCAGTCCTAGTCACCGTGCAGCCATATTTCTGCAATGGCAATTAGATCATGCCCATCTATCTCTATTTGTGCCTTCAGATCACTTACTTTGTTATGAATGATGCAAGCATTCAGGGAGTAAAAACATTCCACTTTCACAATGTACTCAATGCTCAGTCTTGTTGCTCCATCTTCTAGTTCCCCTCCAGCACTTCAACTTCCTGTTTCCAACATTTTCCATTCAATTTGGGTTACCCCGGAGGTTTCCACTCCCTGTTTAAACCCACCCCAAGTGCAATAGCAAAGATATCAGCCCTAGTCCAGCTTGTACAGGTCCTACCTGCCCTGACGCAGAACCATTCCCAATTCCTCAGCAATCTGATTCCCTCCCTCCTACAGCAGCTTTCCAGCTGCACATTCAATCAATCCTCATGTTTTCATGATCACTAGCAATTCTGAGATTACTGCTCTTTTGAGATGCTGCTTTCAATTTCCTTTCTCAATCCCCAAAATTTGCCTTCAGGATCTCATCCCTCTACCTACATGTTGTTGGTACCAAGGTGAAGCACAACGTCTGGCTGATCTCCACCCACCCCCCCTCCCCCAGCTGAATCACTGGTGGTGACAAGGGCTTGGCTGTGACTGCATTCTTGAGGAACAATCACCCTTACCGATTTCCAAAACGGAATGCTGATTAGCAAAACACAAAAGACTCACGAGATTCCTTACTTATCTGGCTTTCTTCAACTGCCTGGACATCCTCATTCCCTCTTCGCCTGTATACTTCTAAACCTGAGGTGTGTGACTACCTCCCTATACATGCTATCTACGCCATCCTTTACATGGCAGATGTGCAACTGCTCAAGTTCAGAAACATAAGAGTTCAAGCAGCCAATGACACTCCCTTCCAATGTGTTCTTCTGGGACACAGCGTATCCATTACTTCATACATTCTGCATATGTACACTCCACTTGGCCCGTCTCACCTGCTATCCCATAATGCTAAAAACTGTTTGTTGGCCTTAGAATAAGTATGAACTTACTATGAAAACCTAAAATTATATCGTCCCACTCTCTGAGGAATAGAAGATAAAACTTAAACAATCCAAATACCCAACATTCACTTTACTGACTGAGCAGGCTGGTCAAGCCTATTCACCAATCTGCTTTCCCTGTGCTCATGATGTCACGCCTCTAATGGTCTCAGTACAGGTAGACCTCCCGATCCACACCTTGTTTCCTCTCCCACTTACTTCTCACCAGGAGGAGATTTTAATCCTTCCAGTAAACTTTAATTATAGCACCACTTTCCCCCTCTGACTTGAATTCTCAGGTGTCACCCAGGAGAGGTCTTAGTCACTCGAACCATATTTTACAAGAGGTGACTGAACTATGAGGGTGGGGTGAGGGACAGGAGAGAGAAAAATAGACAGTTGATGGTGCAGTAATTGTTTACTCTCATTGCAACTGTGACAACTTTTCCCAGAGAACTGTGACAGGATGCACCAATGTTTGTTTCAAAAATCAACATTAATGTTAAGCTTTTGACAAGACAACATACAAAAGCTAAAAAGGTATCTGGACATGAAAAGACATGTGAACAACAAAGTATAGGATTATACAAAGTACGGATATCAGGAAGTAAGTGAATTCAAAAAGGGATCCTGGCCACATAAGACCAGGTTGTACTTGAAAAACACAAAACCGCTCCAATGTTAGATATGATTCCATGATCCGAATATATTTGCAAAATAGCTGAGTGTGTTAAGAATCACACTGGCAACCAATTTATGATTATCTGTTGGGTTCACAGCATAGTGCACTTCCACATACTGGAAGTTACATGTATTAATGCACAGTTCCCTGTTCTTTGCAGATAGAAATAACATGTACACACATTGTGCCTGTTACAAATTAACACAACAGGCAACTGCCATTTTCTGGTTCATTCTTCAGGGCAATACCTGCCTGGTTGAAATTTAAACACAGCTTAACAGTTAACTGTCAGCTATCATGTAACTGGTACATTCTCCACAGCAATGATTCTACTAACCAGAGCTGATTTTCCAACCAATCAATGCCCTCTTTATACGGTATAAGATATTCCCTTCAACCTTGGTATACTTGTAAATGTTCTGATGATTACAAGACAAAATGTTGCAGCAAAAGTATTTTTATCAGCAATAGTCAATGCATACACTTTCAATATGGAAGCGCTAAGTAGGCTGGACTCCCCAAAATAAGCGTCCCACAAAGACTCATTGGTAACCGACAAACTTGACCATGATGCATCTTCTTTCCTGTACCAAACCAGGCTATTCTACCTAACTAGTCTACATCAGGATTAATGCTCCACAAACCTCTTCCCAATTCATTTCATCACAGCCAAATAACATATCCTTTCTTCTCTCCCTCACATCTGTAGCCATTATCTCTCATCCAGTAATTGCTTTATTTCTTAAAAATGGACGAGAGATCTTATCATCGCCATTTTGCTGCTTGTGGGGGCTTGCTGTGCACAAGTTGCCAACATGTTGCCTACGCTGCAGTTGTAAGGACACTTTCTTTTAAAAAAAAGTGCATTAGGATAAGCCAAAGTCAGGAAAAGTACTGCACAAGAGCAAACTCTTACTTCCTTCGTTACAAACATAACGTATTTGGCAAAACGAAGAGCAAAACGCAGAAAAATTGCTTGTAACAGAGTTTTTGTTTTTTTTTCTGTCAAACTATTAAGCTCATTGCCAAAAAATCAAAACTGTTTTGTTTACAGCACAGGAAACCTGCTTGCTTGTTCCCTCAGACTATGACAAATTTGGCACAAGACTAACTGTACATACTGTACCCACAGGGTTGGCTGCAAGCCCAGGTTGGCGAAGTGCCAACTCCACAACAACAAGTGTCGTCAGCCAGAACAAGCCACAGGGAAGGGAGGAGGGGAGCTGACATAGACACCACAATTGTACCGAGTACACCACAGCTAGCTTTCTTCATTTTTAAAAGACAAAGCCGAAATTCCTCTTATGTCTCAAAACAAGCGAGAGAGGTACGATGTGATCCTCTGTTACCTGAATGCGAAAGCAGATGCATCCGTAGCCGTAAGCTGTCCAGGAATCTTTTACCACACAGTTCGCACCCATAGGTCCTCATACCACTGTGCAGCTTCCTATAGAACAAGGCAGCAGGAGGAAGAGAAAATAAAAGAACATCAATAAAGTATGGTAGGAATTTGTAATTTAAGCCCATTTCATTAATCTCTCTGTAAGCACCTACAGCAGAAGCACGGCTGCTGTACATTTCCTCTTACACTTTAGAATATAGTTACTAGGCATTTTTAGTACACCATGGGGGAATTTTTAAAAAAAAAAAAAAGACACGGCAACAAATACACTTCAAAGTTGAGCAACTCTCAATTAATCATCTGAAATGGCTCCCAGCAAACAAAAGTGAACCTCCACGTCACATCTCAGACCTCTGCAGCTTTGAGCTCTCAGAACTATCAACCATAATTCTGTAGCTGAGAAGTCTAAGGTGTTGGATTCAGGGTCCAATCTCTGCAAAGGCGTAGGTTCGAATCCCACCACCCATTTCCAATTAGCTTGGAGCTCTTGTGATGCAGTGGTAGTGTCCCTACCTCTGAAACAGGAGGTCCTGGGTCAAGTCCCATCAAAGGTGTGTAATAACCTTTTGAGATCAAGAGGTTAATTTTCAAAAAAAAAAAAACAACTAAACCATAGCTGAACAAGTAACAAAATGCCAGACTTGGGTGGCCAAGTGTTTATCTGCATTTTGAACACTGGTTGCAAGGGTAACTTTTTTTTATTCATCCATGGGATGAAAGGCATCGCTGGTCAGGCAGCATTTATTGCCCATCCTTAATTGCCTAGAGGGCAGTTGAGTCAACCACATTGCTGTGGGTCAGGAGTCACATTTGGCCAAACCAGGTAAGGATGACAGTTTCCTTCCCAAAAGGACATTAGTGAACCAGCTGTTTTTTTTTCTGACAATCAACCAATGGATTCATGGTCATCATTAGATTTTTAATTCCAGATATTTATTGCATTCAAGTTCCACCCCATTTGCCCTGGCGGGATTTGAACCCGGGTCCCCAGAAGATTTAAAAATACCATGAGGGGCAATTTTTTTTATACAGAGAGTGGTTCATGTGTGGAGTGAACTTCCACAGGAAGTGGTGGATGTTGGTACAGTTTAAACAATGTTTAAAAGACATTTGGATAAGTACATGAGTAGAAAAGGTTTGGAGGGATATGGGCCAAGCGCAGGCAAGTGGGACAAGTTTAGTTTGGGTTTATGGTTGGCATGTGGAATGCGCTGCCGGCAGTGGTAGTGGAGTCAGATACTTTAGAGACTTTTAAACAACTCTTGGATAGGCACATGGAGGATAGTAAAATGTAGGGTATGCAGGGTAGATTGACCTTAGTAGGATAATAGGTCAGCACAACATCGTGGGCTGAAGGGCCTGTACTGTGCTGTACTGTTCTATGTTCTATATGTTCTATCTGGGTTTCTGGATTAACAGTCCAGCGATAATACCACGAGGCCGTCGCCTTATCGATTAGGGGAGGCAGTGACCTAGGCGGTGTCATCGCTGGACTATTATTCCAGAGACCCAGGTCATGTTCTGGGGACCCAAGTTCGAAACCTGCCATGGCAGATGGTGGAATCTAAATTCAATTAAAAAATACCTGGAGTTGTGCGTCTGACGATGACCATGAATCCAAGTTGTTGGGGGAAAACACCCCAACTGGTTCACTAATGTCCTTTAGGGAAGGAAAAGACCTGGACCTGGTCTGGCCTATATGCGACTCCAGACCCACAGCAATGTAGCTGACTCTTAACTGCCCTCTGGGCAATGAATGCTGGCCTAGCCAGCAACGCCCTCATCCATCAATGAATAAAAAACAAAGTTTATTGAAACATCTCAAATCCCCTGAGTCTTATAAAGGTGGATACCAATGCCCAGGCCTGTGGACTGGGATTGGAGCAGATCAAGCTCCAATTACTGCCACCCCCACCCCTAAAACCCCATGGATCATACCCAGGTCAACGGCCTGGGCCGAAACAGCATCAGGGCCTGTGATTCCTGTCTCATATTGGGAAGATGTTTCCTCTTGTGGCACAAAGACATAAACTAGGGGATATAGTTTGCTTCTTTTTAAAACCTTTCACAATAAAGAGAAGCATATTTTCTTTTGCCCTCAAAATGATTGTTGCTCTTACTCTCAAGGAGGGTGGGTGTTTAAAATTTACTCAAGACTTACGGTGTTAGATTTTTGATGGGTAAGGGGGATGGTCAAGGATTATTGGATGGGGGAGGCAGCCAGGAAGAGAAAGACTACAGCCAGACTACCCACAGTTTTATTGAATGATTGAGGTGGCTATAAGCACAAAAGGCTTTCTCCTGCTCACAAGCCTCATGTTGCTGTCTCTGCTTCTGCAATTCTTCCAGAACAGCTTTCCCAGAGCCAGCCACGGTGGATAGCTGTTGTACTAAAAATGATTTCAGTGAATGGCCCCAAAATCCAATATAAACAAACAACCCAAGAACAAAGCTAGGAGTCAGTCAAAAGGACACTGAGGATCCACAGCAGCAGAGACATAGTCAGAGGGAAGCAAAGCTTTAGTCAATTTTCAGTGCCCTGTAAGCTTCACAAAAGAAAGAAGGGGCAAGTGAATGAGAAAACTGAAGGTGCAACTTTGCAGACCTGGTCACACACCAACATAGCATCCCAGAAGACTGGCCAGCAAACAAGGTGCTATCATTGTTTAGACAAATATCACAGCCAGTTTGATGCGCAAAACATGCCAGAAGTACGAAAGATAAATGACCAACAATTCAGGATTTAATGGTTCCAATGGAGTATAGACTCTGGGAATCTATAACTGACATTCACATCGAGCTAACTCTCCTTTCGGGCCCAGGTTTAATTGTCTGAGCAACACTGAAACTGTGTATTGTGCAATTTCCTTCTCTGCAGGTGTATTTGCCTCGGATATGGTTCCAACCCAACCCCAGGGTCATTAGGGGTCAGCATTTGTTGCCCACATCCCATGAAACAGTGAAAAGAACAATGGATGTTGCTTTAGTTGACCAAAGTGCAGTACGTAACCAGCAGCATTGCTCCATTTGCCACTGATGCTTAGGCTGCTCATATCCTGTGACATAGACAGAGTGTTGCTTGTTGAAGGTTTGATTTTTGTTGTTCCACCTCATGCCATTAACCTAACCATAATCACGCCTGGAAATTGCTGCAAAGAAACATAGGCATCCACAAAGTCAAGGTTTAAAGTTGCAGCATTGACTCTTCAATTTAAGTCCAAAGTCTGCATCTAAAACACCAAGCTGTGTATTTAGGGTTGTCAATCTCCCAGAGTAAACCTACTGCCCCCAGGGATTGAAGATTGATCTTGAGGACTCAACAGGGGAAAAAAATTCCTTGGAAGGAAAAAACAACAATAAAGACAGAAAATAAGCAATTGGAATGTCTGGGAAACAGGTTGAGTATTTCTGGCATTTTCTGTTTTTATTTCAGTTTCACAGCTTCTGCAGTATTTTGTATTTGAAAAGGGGAGGTAACAGCCCAGTGGGGTTATCACTGGATTGTTTATCTAGAGACACAGATAACATTCTGGGTTGACCCAGGTTCAAATCCCGCCACGGCAGATGGTGGAATTTGAATTCAAAAAAAAAATCTGGAATTAAGAGTCTAATGATGACCATGAATCCATTGTCAGTTGTTGGAAAACCCCATCTGGCTTACTAATTGCCATCCTTACCCAGTGTGGTCTACATGTGGCTCCAGAGCAGCAGCAATGTGGCTGACTCTTAACTGCCCTCTGGGAAATTAGGGATGGGCAATAAATGCTGCCTAGTCAGAGACGCCCTCATCCAATCAATGAATTTAAGGAAAAATTATATAGCACTTTTCATGACCACTAAACATCTCAAACGACTTTACAAAAGTAATTTTGTAGTGACATAGGAAATATAGCAATATCCCACAAACAGCAATGTGACGGTGGACAAATAATCTATTTATCGTGATGTTAATGGAGTAACAAATGAGGGACTCCATTGGTATTACGGGATCTTCCAGATCCAGCAAGCAGGCAGATGGGGCCTTGGGTGAACATCTCATCTGAAAGATGGCACATTCTCCGTATCGCTTTGAAGTCTCCTCCTTGACTGGTTGGTTTGTGCACTCAAGCCCTGGAGTGGGACTGAACCTGGAGACTCAAGACTCAAAGGCAGGAGTGTTGCCGTATTGTGTCTACTGGGGCTGAAATGAGAGATGGCAACAAAAAGGCTATTCAACTGGATGGGGCAGTTAGAGACCACATGGTGGAATCACCAACAGTACACCCACAATTGGCAATCTCCTCACAAATGCCAACTGATCTGCTGTGGAAGCACCCAAAGAGATCTAATACATCATGTTATGCCAACATAGGTGACCATTTACAGAACCAGACAGAGGACCTCTGCCCAATGTAGCTCTCCCAGCAGCCCCCTCCCTGACACACTATTCTTCATACGTTTGTGAAATACTAAAACCCTTCTAAAGAGACAGTTGTGTGGTTCAGAAAGACATTGCAACACATGCTCAAATCTAAAAGATTGCAGAAACAACCACAAGAGCAACAAGGCCACAGAAAGCCAACTGCATTGCATTGCAATCAGTCATACAAACTCAGTATTAGAGAATACAGCTCACGGGATCTTCTTCAGGCAAAAGCAGCAAAGTATACCATTGAAAGTATTTCCCAACTACCTGTTTCCCTTTATTGCATCACTTGCATCAATGGCCCAGGAAACAGGTTTGTAACCTGGACAATCTAAAGAGGTTGTGCAAGCTAAATCTTTTGAAGTAAACCTGTCCATATGCAAGGACATTTCAAAGACACATGCATTTTTTTTTCCAAATCTTAGTGCCATGGCTTAGTCAACACCACTAAGTCAAAAGGTTGAGATTTCAAGTCCCAGACCAAGACTTGAACTCAAAACTGGAGCCTGATGCTCCAGTGCAGTACTGAGGGAATATTGTATTGTTCAAGGTGCAGTCTTTCAGTTGAGTTGTTAAACTCAGAATTGTTATGGTGCAGAAGGAGGCCATTCAGTCCACTATGCCTGTACTAGTTCTATCC